TTTAAATTTCTGGGATTGGAAGGTCTTCCAGCTCTGTTCAGGGGAAGCAAATATGGCAATGATCCATCCTTGCAGATTAATAAATCTAGGGTTACATTCAGCAGTGGTAGAAGTGTGTGTAATTCTCAACAGTACCCTTGTCATGCTTCAGAGTTAGGGAGGTACAAGAGAAGAATATTTCTGTTGTAATGTTAGATTATGCAATGTGTCTTAAATGCAACACATAAACACCTATCCCCATGGCATGTGTTAGCTATGTTGTGATCTGGCCCTAGGGTGATACATCAGGGGAAAGAGGACCAGAGGGATAGGGCAGAGAGGCTGCATAGCACATGGTTGCCCAAAGGAAGGTTTCTTCTCTCAGTAGTCTTAGAAGAAGGGGAATTTGCCAAGCAGAAAAAGCTTAGGTGAGCTTATCCTGGCTATTGGGATCCAATGTTTAGTTTTTGTACAATCTTGAAAATGTGGTTGTCCAGGAAAAAAAGCAATCTATCTGTAGCAGGAGTCATGATCAACGGAGACAATTTAAATCAGCCCTCTGTAGGAATTGTAGGTCTGTTTTCTACTGTATTGCTAAATAAAAATGACCAAATTTTAAAGGGACTGACATTCCAATGCCATGGCTCTTAATGTAAAAGGGAATTTTATGCAGTGACCTGGAAGCCAGAAGATCCTCTTTACCAGAAACAAGCATGTCATCTCATTTTGCTTTTGCAGCTTCTTCTTGAAACTTGCTTGCTTGAGCACAGCTCCTCTGTAAGCCATATAATACACTCTCTTAAGGACAGAATTAAATTGGGTTCTGCTGTGGATTTCCCTGAGCTGTGGGTTTGATTTGGTTGAGACCGAGTAACCAGCCAGACTCACCCATCGACCTCAAAATCATCTGATGTGACTTGGGGAGATCCAGATCAACATTTTAATCAGTGGGCCACACAATATATAGTTATTGTCTAAACAAGGAGTTCTCAGCCTTCTTTTGCTCAAGGTAGCCGTCTGAGCCTCATTTACCTCTGGTGACCTCAACATGCTGACTGCTAGCAGGTACACATTTATTGTAAAGTATAATAATTTTCAGTATTTATGCTGCTGAGATGAGCAGACATGAGATTTATGACAAATTGATTCTACACCTGGGAGTTAAGTTTAGGTGGCTCCCTCAAAAATCTATTATACCCCTTAGAGTTATAGCATGGTCAAATGGCCTACATTGAGAACCACCGATCTAAAACATTAATACCAGTGGTTTTAAACAAAAGAATACTTCTCCCAATGCTCATCAAGCTAATGCATTGTCTTCAGACTTAATTATCAAAAGATTTCCCTGAATACCTGAAGTTGAGGAGGAATATGACACATATTTGCTTCTTTAGTGAAGAAAAATCTGACTAGTCTGTGTGTCTCACAATAGTTATATAACTATTGTCAGTGTGTTTGTGTGTATATGCATGTGTAGTTTTTGTTCAAGTAATTCCACCTTCTGCATCTTGCCTCAGAGGGGTCTAAACCTATGTCTTGGATTTATAGACCGTAAAGCATTGTTAAATTACACTCTTTGTTGGAGGGATGCAAATAATCAGAAATAGCCAAAAGCATTATTTATGTTGCCAATTTGATTGGGCAAATATGGAAGAACATCAACTTCTTAACAAATTATAAACTTGAGACAAGCAGTACAATCTCAGATTGTGTTTGGATCATGCCCTGATAGTTATGGAGTGGTGGCTTCTTTGAGATTTTCAAAGGTGACTAAAGCAAATAGTAATTTTAACTGTTATATAATTCTCATAACCCTGACATTAATTAATAAGCACAATTGGCCATAGGACTGCATGCTGATACTCACAATACCTAAGCTTGGTATTGGTATTCTTTTAAAAATGGTTAATGCCAACTAGGTTTGTTTGTTACCTTTTTTATTTTCCCTTCATTACTAAGGTAGACTTTTTTATTTTCCCCACCCTTAGAATGTAAATATCTGCGCCAGAGCCAGTTTGTGTAATACATCAGGCATCAGGCTAGTAGAAAATGGGAGATATTGAGTTCTAGTCCCACCTTAGGCACAAAACCAGCTGAGTGAACTTGGGCCAGTTGCTATCTCTGAGCCATTGGAAGTAGACAATGTTAATCCATTTCTTTAAAATGTTGCTGTGAAAGTTGCAGAGAGTAGTCCAGACAATTGCCAGCAATCAAAAAGCGGGAGGGAGGGAGGGAGGAAGGAAGGAAGAAAGGAGATAGGAATTATTTCCTTTAATTTTCCTTGCATTAAATTTAAGTTTATTTTATCATGTTACGCTGAAGTTGTGAGCTATCCTGAAAGACTGCGTGGGTAGCTGCTGCCGTCATTCCCTGTTTTAGGGCAGTGAAAGTTTTCAGAGCTGCCATGTGGGATAGAAAGTCAGACAGCAGGATGAGAGTGATATTTCTTTGCAGCATCCTGCTAGTTTCTTAATTAACCTGTATCACTGTCATTGTATGGATGAGTGTTCTTCAATAGTATTTTGAATAGAATAAGATGGCATTTTCACATGCAGTATTGTAGGCTGTAATTGCTTCATTTTAGAGTGTCATCTGTAGGTGCCACCATCCACATATTTCTTTACAGTTGGGAGTGGGGTTGTAATCTAAATCTAATAATTTAATCTTGGCCCATCAATTGAGCAAAGGAGACAGATGCTGAGCTATGATTGATTGCTTCCCATGTTGGAAAACAAACACAGACTAGACAGTAGGCACCAGTACTGGGAACACAATTGCATTGTCAGACTCAGCATTCTTTTTTTTAACTTGCTGCATTTATATTGGAACCAATCTTGAATGCTTTTGCCACTTTGCTTTTCTATTATAATTCCCGCTGTTTTCCATTTTTCTTCAACAGTGGGTTGCTGCTTTAGCCAGACTCTGGGGAATTATTTCTAAGCCAAAGCACTAAAAAGTAATACATTAAGGCTACAAAACTGTTTTTACATAGACTGCTGTGACAAATTATGGACTAATTAGTTTATTTCAGCAGGTACTGTACAGCTAAGAGTTGAATAACCACTAAATTAGGTCAGTGAAATGCCTAGTAAATATGAGTGCACAGCCTATAAGTTAGCTTTTACTAGTTAGTCTTTTGTGCTTAATGGGTAGTTTGTTGGGTAGTTTATGATTCGGTATCTTATGTGAACCCAGAAAATTGGTTAATTGTATAATTGTGTAGTTAGCCAATGGATGAAGAAGCACAATTTGCCCTGGTGTCCATACTTTTAGCGGTCAGAATTCTTGTACCGTAGGAAGAAGTTGCAAAAGATTGAATTTAAAAATGTTCAAGAATAAATTACCCCTGGAGATGGAGGTAAGCATTTCATGGAGATGAAGAATCTTGTTACGGAACTGAGCTGTATTGAGAATTGAGAGAAGGAATCAAAAACTTCACTGGTCTATGAGCCATTCATTATGTCTGAATATCAGTCATCAGGTTTGGTGGACTCTGCTTACAGATCCTATTTCATAGCTACTTCCTAGTGTGTACTCATTGAAACTCCATGCAAAACAATGTTTATTAAGTGGACCCAAACTGGGACTGCTAGGTACAATACCTGCATTTTCTTTTTGGCTTTATAGTTAATATAGAAGAATGATGTTTATTGGCCATAATGTTGACACAGTCTGGTTGTCTTCTAAAAAACAAACAAACCTAAAAAGGAATAATTATTTAAGTCCTAAACCTAGACCTAGCGAAATAGAAACATTGCATCAGGCTTTATATTCTTAGTTGTGCCAAATATGAAATATCATAATTTGCCCGCATTCTATGACAATTTCTTCTTTACATGTTCATTTTTATGCCTGAGGGATTTCCATTTTCGTATTCCTAAAAAAAAAAACAAGGGAGAATCAGGAGAGCGAACAGCAGCAAATAGTTTGCCTTGCTGGTCAAAACCAAAAGTTCTACAAGAAGTTTGATTCTTTGAGACACTCATTCTTTGGCAGTTGTCCTGGGGTCTGCCCTTGGCAACTTTGGTTCTCTAGATTAGCTCATACATTGATCTTTCGGGCAGGAGACACATGATGGACACCTACATAATTGTCATCATTTATTATTGCTTTTATTATTGTTTATGATATGTGAATCAGGCAGGATTTATCTATTTTGTTTACAAATTAGCCACATTCAAGATACTTTAGTTTCAAAAGTAGACTATTCAAAATGCAGTCTCCTCTGCAGTTCTTGAAAATGGGCATAATATGCTGGGAAGCTTAAGTGTTCAGCCTGTAATGAAATGCCTCTTGTCAGCTCCTATTCCAGTTGAGTGTATGGAGGAAAATTTTCTAATGTGGCTTTCACCAACTTAATGTCCTCCAGATAGATACATGGAACATTTTTCTCACATGAGACAACTGTAGGCTGATAGTATATTGGATTCGTTAGACTATTTTTTATTCTTTTTTCTACTGTACTAGAGCATCCCCTTAGAATTTTACGTAATCTGTTGGCTTGCTTTAAAAATTGGCACGATGTTTGATTTATATAAATAATGGGGTTAACATGAATCAAAGCACTATAAGACTCTGAAAGATGTAATCTCATATACAGAAACAACTTGGGAACAATGTCTTTTGGAAAGTAATATGGATAGGGTGGCATTTCTATTTAGGTATAATCAGGGATTAAGAGATCCCCAATAAAGGATCAACTTCAGGGATCTCCAATCAGGGATCATAATCAGATATCAAGAACCAAACTTTGAAACTATAAAATAGGAAGAAAAGTAGGATTTCCATTACCACTCCCCTTTTTCAATACTTTGAAAAGTGAATAATGTCATCCCACAAGAAAAAAAGAAGAGAAAGTTTTAAGCTGCAGTACTCTTGTGTTTAAAGTATTATTATGGATAAGGATATGCCAGTTCTTTTGGGAGATAGGTCACTGCTATCTATAACTTGTTTAAGAAAATGACACAGACTTGGTAAAAAAAATAGTGAAGAAATATTAGATTTGCCTTTTTGCTGTTCAGGATGAAATGACTACAAATTTGGGTCTGACCACAACAAAAGCCCTAACGATTCTGAGAGACCAACTATCAACATTGCTGGAAGGACATCAGAAGGAAAGGAAAAAGGTGATTTCATGGAAGGTAAGCATTGCAACTTTGTAAAGTAGGTATATCACTCTCAATTTTACCTGTTTTTATGTTTTAAGACCATCCTGTGCATTTTAGGTTAAAGCTTAAACAGTGAACAAGGGTACTTACTGTAGACTACGTAAGTAAGCAAGATTGTTATTTGTTTATTAATTATAGAAATGTATATGGCCAGCCATCTTATTCAGATACCTCTGGACAGCTAGCAAGCATAAAACAGAAATACACCTATAACAGTGGTACCTTTGTACTCGGCTGCTTCAAAACTCATTGAATTTGGTATTTGATGCATTGCGATAGGAAGAGGGGGGGTGGCTGCAGAGAACGGACAGGAAGTCAGCCATGCTGGGAAGGATACTGACATAGGAAAAGGGACAGAGAGGAAGTTCTTCCCAACTAAAAAACAAAGGATCAGCTGGTAAGTCATGTGGTTTGTTTGGTACTCATCATTTTTAGTATTTATCGCATCTCCCGGAAACAATTAATGACGAGTACCAGGATACCAATGTACGTGGTTTAGGAAAAATAATAAAAGATGCCAGAGAAGAAATCAATCCAATTTGCTCAAGGTAAAAACAAAGCATTAATAAACATTGGAATATGGCATTTAATTTCCAGTTTACATGTGAGCAATCAGCATTAAGATAATACTGACTTCATTCCTCTGAAGCTGGAGGAAAGTGGTAGTAGTTGGGGAAAATTTATGAAAGTTGCTGGTTTGGTGGGTACCCTGATGCAGAAGACACATTTTCTCTCTCTTAGCACTTCCTGTTGTATAGAAGTTATCTACCTATAATCTAAGTGTGTGGATTTGAGGTAATTTTTTGTTTAGAAGCAATTCTCCATTTACTTTTTGATTGCAAAGCCGTAGTGGCACAGTAGTTAGAATGCAGTAATGCAGTTTGAATCCCACCAGGCTCAAGACAGATTCAGCCTTCCATCCTTCCAAGGTGGGTAAAATGAGGACCCAGATTATTGGGGGCAATAGGCTGACTCTGTAAGCTGCTCAGAGAGGGCTGTGAAGCACTGTAAAGCGGTATATAAGTCTAATTGCTAATGCTATTTTTGGTGTTCAGAGAAGTGAAAAACTTTCAGCAATAGGGCTTAGCTGGGGTGAGAGTTAGGCCACCATGAGGTCCAAGGGAAAATTGAATGCCAAACTTTAATTTGGGATATTATTATTTTTTTATAGTTAGAGCTTTTGCTGGATTTATGGTTGTAAAGGTTGCCAGTAACCTTTACCATTCAGGGAAGGAAAAGTATTAATCCCAGGATGTCAAATTTCTATGATATTTCCTGCTGTTGAGAGGCCAGAAAAAAGAACTAGCATTTTTTGTAGACAGGGCTCCTGAACATCTGTCCATCAGTCTGTTTCATTGGCTGTCTATCTGTCTATCAATATCTATCAGTCTATCAATCTATTACTCATGGGATATGGATAACAAGAATCTTGTAACTACTGTCCTTGCAGTCCACTCTAACTTAATTCCACTGTTCTTTCTCTTGATCTTTGCAGTTGAATAATAAAGTCTAGTTTCCATTTTTGAATGTAGCCCCATTCTTTATACTTTTCCTATTGTAGGAAGTATGGAAGGCCAGTTTTCTATATCATGGCAACCGTTGTTCCTGTTTTCACTGGCCAGGGGCATCTCTGATGCTTCTAACTATGCTGCTACTATTCTGCTGCTATGGGAGCCAACCCCAAGGAAGGTAAGTTATCTGTACATTTTCTTACCCTTCAATTCATATAGAAAACTGTTGATATAGACTGCTGGCTGCCTGCAGTTTGGCAGTTCAAATCTCACTAAGCTCAAGAGTGACTAAGCTCAATGTTGACCAACCTTCCGAGGTTGGTAAAATGAGGACTCAGATTGTTGGGGGCAATATGCTTACTCTGTAAACTGCTTAGAGAGGGTGGTAAGCACTGTGAAGCGGTATATAAGTCTAAGTGCTATTGCTATATTATATGGAAAACCATAATCACGTTTGCTTTTTTGCACAATCATACTTTAAAGTTCACACAAATTCAATCTGGATTGTGTAGGATTTATTAAACACATGAATGGTTTCCATCCAGGTTGAAAACACATTACAATAATAGTATCTTGATCTGGTGACAACAGGGAAGTGTGTGTGTGTGTGTTTTAAGATTATAATGGATTCTTCAAAGAAAATGATTTACATTATCATATATATTTATTTATGTTTCTATAGTATGAATCCAAGATCCACCCCAAACCTCCTGTTTTTGCCTTGACCAATATGGATATGGAATAAAAACTGTGCTAAGATTTAAGTATGTGGATAGGCTCATAATTGACCATGTGATTAGTGGCTGAAAGCTAGTAGGATTGGTGATAGGGCTATGCAACTGCCTAATCATTCTTAAGATTTCACACTTTCCCCCCTTTGTTGGCTGCCTTCATGCTTATGAAACTTACCCAAGTATTTCTGAAAAATTGCTATGAAGATTTTTTTTCCACCTTGCTTCAAAACTGGGCATAAAGTGCAATTTGGTGGAGAGTCCTGCAGCTACCAATGCATGGCCTTGAAAGGATCTTATTTTTTTAAAATGAAGTTTATTCAAAGGAATTTTGACAGATGTGACTTCCTAGTCAGTCTTTTCAACCAAAGGACTCAAGCTGTTTATTTTCAGGAATCTGAACAGTTCCAGACGAAGATGCCTTGTGGCTTCAAGTGAAGGATAAAATGTTATGTTTAAAAAGGTTAAATGAATAAAATATTATGGTATTTCACTGCCTAGAGTTATTTATGGGAAATAAATAAGTAAGCAAACAAACAAATAAATAAATAAAGTATTCAGAATTTCATCAGACTGGTAGCTTAATTTTATTCTATTGCAGTTAGCAATGAGATGCACATATAACTCTGTTACGTCGCATCCTTTTATGAACAGCCGACTGAGACAAAGGGCTCTCTGGTTGGCTGGCCCTGAGAGAACCGAAGAGAAATATTTTATGTGTTATAATCTCACTTACTTTCCTGCTATAGTTGCATGATTTGAATGAATAGGAGTTGTAAATCCTTCTTGGGTTAAAGCAGAGGTTTCCTTACTAACTCCTGTTGGCATTTATAGGTAGAGTCAAACCTGCTCTGAATCTGATCGTAATTCTTTCAGCTACTTAAAACGTCTCATATTTTGCTTTAAACAGTGAAGGTTCAGAAATTGTAAATGGCTTGGCACTGTTCTTCCTGGTGCTACTGGACCTCTTTGTGATTGGACGGCAAGAAAGGATGAAACACCGAGAAATTGAGAGGAGACTTCGGAAAATCATCAGCAGAATAAATGGTAAGACCCCCTCTTCTTCCTCCTTTATTATTTTTTGTTACCCTAAGTAGATGTGGCTGCATTCTTTTCAAAATCAGATCTTAGGACCTTTGCCATTGTTTTTTATTATTTATTTCATAGATTTATATCCCAATTTTCATTCAAGAGCTCAAAACGGTACATAAATGCCCCCCCTCCCATTTTTTCTCCACAAGAATAACCTGTGTGTTAGAATGTTTAGGCTGAGAGGGAGTGACTGGCCCATTGATCCCTAGAGAGATGTTGTGAGTAGGAACTAGCACTTGGATCTCCTTACTCATAGTCCAACACCTTAACCACTACACCATGAAGACACTCTACTTTTTTTGTCTGAAGGAATAATCTATTCTTAACTAGCAGCTGATAATTCTCTAGAAGATTCATACAGAAACTGTGTCCAAAAATGATATTCTTTTGCTTTCTTCCTTTGTCTTTATATTCCGTCATTGCTACAATCCTTCCCCGAACCCCCCTTCGATCTACCTAATGTTTTCATGACAGATTTGAACCAGGCATTTGGTTTGATTTTGTTTTCCTTCATTTGATGGTATCTCATTAGAGACTGTTGTAAAATCGGTGGTCATATAAATTATACATGCACAAATATATAGGTATCCTCAATTTTTCCTTATTCCAGTTACTGCAATGTTGCTATAGTATCCTGTAACTTATGTTTTAGGACAGTAATAGAAATACTTTTTCCTTTTTTATTTTCTATACTTGCAAACCATGTCTTCATTCAAAAAAGGAATTTGGAGTCATATGCCCCAATATCGGATACAGATAGTCCTCAACTTACAACAGTTCATTTAGTGACCATTCAACATTACAACGGCACTGAAAAGAGTGACTTATGACCATTTTTACATTTACAATTGTTGCAGCTTTCCCAAGGTCATGTGATCAAAATATTTAAACTAAATACAATATAAGCTTGAAATTTAAAAATTCTTTGGTAAATAAATTTTAACCTAGGTCAGGAATAATGCAGCAAGCATACTTCCTGTGGCTGGATATTTTGAAACTCGGCTGCCACTATAGAGAAGAATGTCTCATATCTATGGGGACAGAGGATAATCTTAAAGCACATGAAGTTTGATAAAGACCCCTGGCCAAATCACTGCTGCTGTTTTTGTTCCCTTATGTCCCTCCATCCGGATCTCCATCCTGTTCTGTCTCCTGTGAACAAACATATTACTTGCCAAAGTTATCCAGATGTTGAGATTTTTGATGCACTACAGGGAAAGCTGCAAGAACCACTGCTGCAGTTTACAAACTCTATAGGAAGACCAAACAGTTTGTTTGTAGCATGAACTAAACTAATGAATTGCAAACGATGCCATTAAAATGCATGTTTTATTTAGGAGGTGTGTGTAGGAGTTATTGAAAAATGAGTGATTGAAAAAACAGAAAATGTGGAGAGTATAACTCCTCTTGCCATGGTTCAAATGAATATACAGTAGTTTCTCTAAAATGGCATGGATGCCAACAAATCTGGGAGGATTGTATTAATTAATACCGGGGCTAGAAGGAGAAGGTTAGGCTTTTATTTTGACCTTAAAATGAACTCAGAATACATTCCTGCTGTAACTGAAATCTGGATCAATGTTTAGCAGTATGACCTTAGTGGATGGGACCTCATCAAATAATCCCTTCATGCATGGAGGGTGGCCAAAAAGAATTATTTAAACAACATTGGAAAGAGAAGTCTGCACATGATTTGCAGTGGTGGATTGCCAATATGTGTTGTTTGTTAACCTTGAATGACATTTTTCAAGAGAGAAAAAAGGAAGGAGGCTAACAAACTATGTATTCTAATTTTTTGGTACTGTTCTGGTGTTACCTATCTACTTCTTTCCTCCCTCCTGGAATATTTTTCCTATTAGTATTTTAGTCAGTATCTATATAACAATGATATATATGTTTGATATCTTTATTTTTCTATCATTACTGCTTGTTTAATAACAATTTTCTGTTAATCTGATATTTCAGATGCTTTAAAAGAGAATAAAGAACTCATCTGGACAAAAACTATGTACCCTGACCTTCACATGCCCTTTGCGCCATCCTGGTCGCTCCACTGGGTCTATAGGGATGGTCACCTTGTCAACCTCCCAGTAAGCCTGTTGGTAGAAGGTGATATTGTTGCTCTAAGGCCAGGACAGGAATCTTTCACCTCTCTTAGAGGGATTAAGGTAACTCACATTTTTCTTCTTGATGGTAATGATGCTGCTGATGTACTAGTAAAAAACAAGAATTTGGAATGTCCAAAGTCTGTTTTGGGGTTTTTTGGATTCAAAATATTTCATATTTTTCTTCGTAAACATGAGTATTAGAAACACCCATACATTTCTTCCTAAAAGGACCATAATGGTAAAAAATTCTTTAAAAATGGAAACCAAATAGTTCAGAAAGCTTCAGCATATACAGCTTGTGACAAAGTGACTTCTTTCTGTAATGGGAAGAATGGATTTAAAACCATAATAAATAGCAGTAGTACTTAGACGTATATACCGCTTCACAGTGTTTCACAGCCCTCTCTAAGCGGTTTACAGAGTCAGCATATTTCTCCCAACAATCTGGGTCTTCATTTTACTGACTCCCGTTACTTGTCCCAGCTTCTGCCAACCTAGCAGTTCAAAAGCATGTAAAAAATAGGGACCACTTTGGTGGGAAGGTAACAGCATTCCGTGCGCCTTTGACATTTAGTCAAGCCGGCCACATGACCATGGAGACGTCTTCGGACAGCGCTGGCTCTTTGGCTTTGTAATGGAGATGAGCACCGCTCCCTAGAGCCAGAAACGACTAGCACATATGTGCAAGGGGAACCTTTACCTTCACTTAAAGTAAGATGAATTGCTGTTGGTTGCTTAAAGAAGTTTAAACTTTCTGTAAGCTACTTAACTTACCTATTTGTTAGATAGTTTCTGTCACTGTCTTATCTTTTTCTAAAAGGATGATGAACACATTGTCTTAGAACCAGGGGATCTGTTTCCTCCTTTTTCTCCCCCACCTTCCCCCAGTGGGGAAGTGAAGAAAGGACTCCAGAATCCTCAGATGTTTCGACTTTTTCGGGTCACAAAAACACCAGTGATTGAAAATGTTCGGTAAGTTCTTAATTTTGGATAGAGTTCTTCTTAAAGCGTTAACAGAGATTTTGCTAGCTACAAAGCCGACCACATTATTGACAGCATTTTTAAGATCCTCAGTGACTTGTCATTTGTTTATTTCAGGTTATGTTTAGACATGGGTTTATCACGGCCTGTGACTGCTCTAGATAACGAGAGATTCACAGTACAGTCAGTGATGCTGAAGTTTGCTGTTCCGGTTGTGCTGGTATGTCTAATTCATTATAAGAAGCAGCTCTTTGGTTTCGGTCCAGTGAAGTTTTAGGTGACTAGAACTATCCTGATTAGTGATGGTTTTCTGTGCCTTTGAAGAAATAGTCCTTGATTCTTTTTTTTTTTTGCACGTCTTGAATATTCATTTGTAGAAATAGGAAGGAACTGTTTTGCGTGCAGAAGAAAACTAGACAAAACTGACGGAATGGTTTTGGAGGGAGAAAGAGAGAGGGGAGAGAATGAATTGTTACAGTCATAAACCAGCCCAGAAGAAGAGAAAATAGCTTAACTAAATCTTAAGGTGATCCCTCTCTTTCCCTCTCAATCTCACTAGTAAGATGGGTGTATTGGGTATCCAGGTTTTAAAGGAAGATGGGAATATATGCACAGTTAAACCAATATATTTGCAGTGTTCATTTTAAAAAAATGTGTGATCTGGATACAGTAGTGCATGACATAGGGAGAGACCTCTTGTTTTGACTACTGTGACATGGACTAAGTACGATTGCTTTAAAATAAAATGTTTGCAAACCTCAGTCAAAATATTGATGGAGACCTGTTCCAGGGAAAACAACTTTAATGGCTACTGGTCCTTTACAAGCACAATTTGAAATTCTTTATTTCGAAAATGACATATACGTCTGCTTGGAATTTAAGATCTAGATGAGAAATTCATTTTGTCATGCCATCATGGGAGACTGTTTGGGAATAATTCCAAAACAAAATATTTTCAGCAGCTGCTCCGAAGAAAACCAGACTAGATCTTGTCTATGGAGATTCTCAGTCATCCAGGTCAAAGGTGCTTTTTCCAAGAGGCAACTGGACTTTTCTTTGAAGACGTTTCGCTTCTCATCCAAGAAGCTTCTTCAGCTCTGACTGGGTGGTGGGGAATGGAAGGATTTATACTCCTTGCAGAGAGCTGGTCATTTGCATTCTTTTAGTGGGTCATTAAGGTTGCCTACAGGTTTATTTATGTCATCAGGGTTACCTGAGTGGTGAAAATGGATGTGGAGCCTTCTTGGAACTGTTGAAAGGACTGTATTGTAGATTGGAGATACAACATCATCTATCTCCAATCTTCAACATAGTCCTTTCAATAGTTTCAAGACGGCTCCACACCCATTTGCATGCTCAGGTGACCCTGAGGTGGGGACATAGATAAACCTCCAGGTGGCCTCAGTGATTCTCTAAAAGAATGCAAATGACCAGCTATCTGCAAGGAATATAAATGCTTCCATTCCCCACCAACCAATCAGAACCGAAGAATCTTCTTGGATGAGAAGCAAAACGTCTTCAAAGAAAAACAAGAAAGTCCAGTTGCCTCTTGAAAAAAAGCACCTTTGGGACAGACTAGATCTTATTTGTGATGGAGGGCAAAATGAACTTTTATCCTTAGCCGTATTTCAAAATCAAGCTTGCTGAAGCACCTTTTAGCTGGCAAATACTGTTTCCTTAGGGTGTTATTGACAGATTTTAATTACATTGTTTTGATGTTTGGAATTTAAGTGCTGTTTGCCTTGAGCGCTGTTTTTCAGAAAATTGCTTGCCTATTTTCTAAAAAATATATAATGAAAGCTGAGTTTTTAATGTTGTTTCCTTTCTTTAAATGGCAGCTTGGCTTCCTGATCACCAATACCATGCGTTTTTTTTTCATGGCGGGTGGAATAGTCCCTTGGCCATACATGTTTCTTCAGCTTCAGGTAAAGAAAACTATGCTCTTGTTATCCCCAAATTGGTTTTGGTTCTCACTTACCAAAAAAAGAGAGTACCTTTTGTATTTACTATTAAATACTTGTGTGATGTTTATACTTTTGTATATGCTATGTCCCACTATTAAGCGGTGTTCGTTAGGAGTGCATTTCACAGTGAAAAGGATATTTCAGGCAGTTATTTGACTTGTTGAAGAACTTTGGAGGAAGCAGGGCCCATTTTGCTATTATTTTGCACTCTGATTTTCGGCTCCTGTTTTGATTTTGACAGCGGAAAGGGGGCATTCAAGGGAACCCAATATAATTTGTTGCTACTTGTGTTCAGGCCTTTCTGAGAAGCAGGCCCAACACCTTCATATGATATCCTGAGAATTACAGCTTTAGGGAACTGTGGCACATGGGCCTATTAGCAGCCCCAGTTTGTTATTCTAGTTCTGCTGATGTACAAGTAAACATGGCAAGAATAAGTCTTTCATGGAGATAGGGTTTAAGGCTCTTGAGATTCCACCTGTAATTTACCTTTTCTTGCATTTTCCCTTTATTCATGTTTATATTCTTGTATATGTAATTTCAGTGATCTTAAAAAACAGGATGCTTCTGGGACACCTGTATAATGTCTTTATGGCTTTGGTCATCACTGACTATCTGGGGAGGTACTACATCCTTAGCTATCGATGCAAAGTGGTTGTACTCATTGTCACTTGGAATGGCATTACAGGTTAATGGAGTCTTGCCTATCCTCCCACTCCTGTTTCCAGTCCTATGGATTCTTGCCACAGCTTTTGGTGAAGCCAGAGTTCTAGCCCAGATGAGCAAAGCTTCCCCTACATCCTTGGTAGGTATTTTAACAATAAAGAGCGGTGGGAGGATGGGCTGGGGAAAAACAAATTGGAATGGGAATTCACAAACCTCCTTTAATATTGAGAGTGGGAGATCCTATGCTCCTTCTTTCCCTTTCCCTGTTTTTTCTTTATCATTCTTTGGAATTGGAGGTATTCCTTAGGGAGTGGTTAAAGGGATAAAGGGACAAAACTGAAACTGGTTTGGGCTTTGAGCATGAACAAAATGGGAATTATTCAGAGGATCTGATAGACCGTCTGGTGTTGCAATTCTCAACATTTTCATGAGCAGGGTTTCCAGACTTCTGTAGAAGGTAGTTGGTAAGTTTCCATCTTAGCTTGCACTGGTCTTTTGATTCTGAATTGTGTAACCTTTCTAATGAATAACTAGATGTTATATATGTTTTTAGAATTGCAGACCTTATGGGGGTTTACCAATAACAGGAATAATGTTTTTTTCTTGATTGTGTAGATTCTACTGTCAACTGATTTATATCATTCCTGCTTCTTTCTGCTTCTCCTATTCAGTCTTGTTCTGCTTCTTCCATTCCTTCTGCTTCCATCTCTGCTTGCTTGCTGTAGGCATGTGAAGCTTGGTGTCCTTATTCTCCTCTTCCTTTCTCCAGCCTCTTCATTGTTTGCTTCAGTGCTCGTATTCTCAGTGTTTCCCTTCTCCATTCCAGAGTCCAGAAATTGTGGTTCTTTGGGCAATACGCTTACACCCCAAATGTAGACTTGTATCATTGCTTTTTGCCCTCTGTAAGCTTAATTGGGTCTTTGCCACTTCTGCTTTGGCTTAAAGTAGCACTGTCTCTTGTAGCACTTTGCCACCAAAATCATCTCGCACAATTACATGCTTCTGTCCTCTTGGTTTATATATCTCTTTTCCTTTCCATGCTTTCCCTTTGTCTGGGGTTTGGAATTAAGACTCTTTGTTCTCCCAGCCTGCATGTTTCTGCTTCTTCTCCCTGTTTCTTTAATTTTGCCTTCAACTTTCCTGACTGGTTTCCTCTTCCAAGTCTTCTTCTGAATCACTTTCTACTTGATGCTGCTGCTCCTTACGTTCCACCTTAACAGCTATCTTGATTACTTTTGGCTCATTTTTAATTTAGGATGTGTTTGCTTTTAACCAAAAGCTTGTTTTAAATTTTAATATTAGTCCAAGATTAAGTTGCTGTGTCCCTCAGTATCTTTTCATGGTCAAAAAGGAGACTTGGTTCTTTTGGGCTGTTTTTTTTTCCTCCCAATTTCTACAGGAATATCCGAGGTAGCATACTTTTCAGGTAGAGCTTAGCCTACAGAGATCTCCTTTCATTCGTGTATCCTAGTGGTGACAAATATTTTCAGAAGGATTTTCTTCATGCATCCCTTCCAAATATCTTGGTAGTAACCAATGTTATTTTTTTTTTTGCTGCAGCTGGCTAAGTTCTCAGAAGACACACTCAGTAGCTACACAGAGGTGGTATCTTCCCAGGTATTATTTTATTGAACAGTCTTGCATCCTGTTCTGTGTTCTTCTGTGCAGTCCATCCTTCCTTGTTTCTAAATGCTTGGCCTCTTCTTCTTGTTTTCTGTATCTTTGGCTTGTTGACACTTTCATTTTGCTATACTGTGATGGTTTGTACTCTTACTGCACACATTTTCTATACTCTCTTCCCTATAGTGAATGGTTACAGCGTACCAGTTTCATCTGATTTTTTTTTGAGAACAAAAGGGCATTTGAAGTACGCCTGTGGAATTTTTCAAAAGTTTATTTTAAGGAAGCACATAATTCACATTGCTTATCTAGCTGAATGAAAATAACTGACAGATGGTCCAAGGGACTGGAAAAAAGCATCCTAAGAATTTCAGGCTGCATACTCTATGTCTGTGTGTCAGAATTAGATTTAGGAAAGTTAAATATGAGAAACTGTGTATTTCTATGAGATTAGATGGATCAAATGGGTGGTACAATTTCAAAGTTTATCCAGGTAGTCTACATGTTATAATCTGATTAATGGGATCCGAACTCCTATCATTCATTACTTCAACCTGTTTAATGGTTCTTTCTTAGATGCTCAGGTTGCCTCATAAGGCCATCTAAACTGAGAAAAGAGAATATGCTTTACCATTATCTGGAAAAAAAACAACAACTAGAGTTTTACCAAATCAAGAAACAGTTCATTGGTGGAACTTGTTGCTTTCCTCTATCTAAATTAAGAAGCTATTTCGATTGCTAGTTGTATTCAGTAATGAGTGTATAAGAAATGGTAGTATTAAGTGGGCAAATTTTCTGTGGTATAAATTCAGGTGGGTGATGATGAACTGGTGTCTAATTTTTTAGTTCTTTGGAGCAATCCTCTGTACTTTGAAACAATACTGCAGAGAGGGAGAGGGAGGAGAGAGGAAGGGAGAGAAAGCATTTCTTTTCCCATGTTAAGTTTTTTTTTAAAGAAATGTAGCTAACTTAACTAAACTTTTCTTCCATTTTTCTGCATCACATGAAGATAGACTAAAGAAACTGCATATTTAGCTTTGAGAAAAAAAAATGACTGAGGAAGACAAATATCTGAAGAGATGTCACAGAGAAGGTCAAAACCTGTTCCCTATTGTTCCAAAGTTGAGGGCATGAAGCAATGGTTTCAGATTACAGAAAGAGGGATTCAAATTGATTTTTAGGGGGAACCCCCCCCCCTATTTAATAGTAAGAGCAGTTTGACAGTGGAAGCAAGGGAGATAATGGGCTCCTGTTTACTTGGTGTCTTCATGTGGAGATTGGATATCCTCCTCTTGTGGATGCTCAAGTTTGTATTCCTGCATGGAGCATAGGTTGAACTTAATGGACTGAATTATCTCTTCCAATTCTATAATTCTAAATGGAATTCTAGGCATGTGTAGGTGAACAATGGAATCCTAGCCATAATTGTAGCCATATGAATCCCACTGCACTAGACTAGACCAAAGACCTGTTTGTTCAGCATCTATTTTCCACATATTTTAAGAAAAATTAACATTAGAGGATATGTATCTGTTTTTTTAAATATCCTAGATTGAACAATCCTCTCAGAATTGCTCCGCAAAGCTGAATCTAAGGTGAAATTCAGAATTCTGCCTGCACTGATATTTTTTAGATACATGTTTGTCAACATTCAAATTTTTAGAGCTGTATTTGTCACAATACAAAATAAAACAAGAAATATAATAACAGACAGACAGAAAGAAAGAACAGAAGGGAAGAAAGACAAAAAAAACCCCTCTGAATCATCCTACTTCCTGTACATATTGCAAGTCCAACATTCCCTACAAGCTTTGTCATGCACTAGAGATCTGATTTATATGCAGGTTGCTATACTTAGTTTCTGTGGAAATGTTAAACTGTCACTTGCTACCAATCCTGCCTTTCTGGAAATAACCATGTTCCTATCTTAAGTCTATTTGAAGTTGTCATTCTTCCTCATTTAGTTGACTAGTTGTTATGGCTTTTTCGGTAGGAAATGTTACGGTGTATCTGGAGCCATTTCCTGCAAGTTCTGAAGGGCAAGTCACCAACACTCACCTTCACCTCTAGTCTGCTTCACAGTCTGGGATCTGTCACAGTAAGTCTGATTGCAAGAAGAGTTGCAAAAAGGAGCATAGACTTCCCTGCCCGATGTCTCATTGGCTAGTTTCCTTTATGGTTGCAAACAATTCTTCTAAAATCTATCCGAACGTGTGAGCTAGATATTGATGAAATAATGGTTCAGAAATATGGTCAGATTGATTTTAGGTTGAGGACCCAAGATATCAAGTTGCTACTGATTGGCAAGCTCTTTATCTTGGCTGGACTGACAGTAGTCTCTTCTACGTAGAAAAAAAATGATAAAGCTGAGGTATCTAGTTTTAAATCAATAAACTACAAATGAGCAGTAGGCATGCCCTTGTCCTTTTCAGCTTTTAGAACATTAACATTTTAATTTACTAAGAATCTATTCTTGGGCTTTACTGTCCACCTATATTTCACAGGAGTCTTCACTCTTGTCCAAAACATGAAATGTGATAGAAGATCAGTAAGTAAGAGTTATAAAGGACACCGCACACTGCTAATTGTCATTCCTTTTGGCCTTAGCTGATCTCTCCCTGAGCTAGGACTGTGCCTTGTTGCCTTCTTACTTTGCTTTATTTTATAGCATCGGCACATATTGGGGAAAGTATTTCTGCATTCAAAAATATACATAAAAAGAAGTCTCGAGAGATTGATGGTTATTTGGAAATGGCCATTTGTCTTTCATTGTGTTTAAACAATGGAACATTGTGTCTGGCTCACTGATTCAGACATAGCCTTGCCCAATAGTTTATTGTATATCTCTGGGGTTTTGTCAGGTGTCTTGGGCTTGTTTTTAGGTGCTCTGCTGTGTGGATAAGCAAGGAATTCTGTCCTGGCCTAACCCCAGTCCAGAGACGGTTTTGTTCTTTAGTGGCAAGGTGGAACCTCCTCACAGCAGCCATGAAGATCTGACAGACGAACTCTCCACACGCTCCTTCTGCCACCCAGAGATGGATGAAGAGGTGAGGGATGCATTCATAAAGGATACAGGTGCTCTGAGCTGTGTCTTGGTCTTCCTGACCTTTGTTTCATTTGCAAGGTAACACCAGTTAAACACTGCAGATGCATGCTCAAATTCTGCACTTAAATTGTAGCAATAAAAAGAAAAGAAGAAAGGTGAACATAGGATAGCTTTTCCCTTCATCCCAACAAGTGAAAACAATTTTGACAGCTTGTCGCTATCTCTAAATGCAACATAAAGTCCCTTCTTCTCATAGCCCATTTCTTAATAAAACAAAAATCCAAATGCTTCATTTATTAGGAGCCTCTGTGGCGCAGTGGTTAGAGTGCAGTATTGCAAGCTACTTCTGCAGCCAGCTGTCTACAATTTGGCCGTTCAAATCCTACCAAGGCTCAAGGTTGACTCAGCCTTCCATCCTTCCGAGGTGGGTAAAATGAGGACCCAGATTGTTGGGGGCAGTATGCTGACTCTGTAAACTGCTTAGAGAGGGCTGTAAAGCACTATAAAGCAGTATATAAGTCTTAAGTGCTATTGTTATTTATCATTCTTTGTTAACAAAAGTCAAATAAGGACAACCAGATATAACTAAGTCTTTTATTTGGCCTTGATCAGATAAACAAAACATAATTTTTGAGTCTATTTTGGCACCTAAAATACAAGTAATCCTTGACTTAACAAGTGACTATTCAAAGTTACGATGGTAGTGAAAAAAGTGTCTGTTTTTCACACTTACAACCATTGCAGCATCCTCATGGTCACATGATCAAAATTTGGATGCTTGGTAACAGATTCATATTTATGACAGTTGCAGTGTCCCAAAATTAATGGGGAATCCAAATTCACTTAAGTTTTAAGTTAGTAAAACTTAACAATTGTAGTGATTCGCTTAACAACTGTGGCAGGAAAAGTCATAAAATGGGGCAAAATTCACTTAATAAATGTCTTGCTTAGTGACATAAATTTGGGGCTCAAGTGTGGTCATATGTCAAGCACTACCTATACTCGGCTTATCCGTAAATATCTACGATAGTCCGCGTGCTTGTTTCCTCTTGCAGAGGTTTTCTTCTTACCTCTTTTACTTATGCTATATTACAGCCGCATGAAAGGGATGCTTTGCTCTCAGGCCCCTTGTCGGACATGGTTCGCATCAGCAACGAGCAAGACAGGGCTGAGTGGTCCACCAGCAATACTCCCAAGTCTTCTGATACTCAGATTCACAAGAAACCAGCAGGTCGTAGCAAGCACCCTTCAGGATCTAATGTGAGCTTCAGCAAAGACATTGAAGGAGGAGATGAGGAGACAACTCAGGTAATGAAGGGCGAACCTCTTCTGGCCCATTGTCTTCATTTCATGCAGGAGACAAAGCCAACATGGGTATCTACAGAACTGTGATGACCTGGGACGTGGCACAAAGGCAACACAGTCAGATAATCAGTAGGAGTCCCTTTATTAGCTCCAACTTTGTCCCCAATGTCCTGGTTACGTTCTGGTCTGAAGAAAAACTCTCCCAGGAACAGCCTTTGACTGCAGATATTCAAGTCCAAAACGTTGTCAACAGAAGCTTTATGTCCAATCAAGGCAAAATGAAGTAATTAATCTGACAGGGCAAGATAAGGAATTCCAGAAGTAAAGGAGCGGTAGTAAATCAACCCCTTTGGGAGGATGCCAGGAATGCAGATAACCATAGTCCACACAAGTTAAATCACATTTGTTCCCAGCAAACGCAGCTCTCAGCTGCCTCTCCTTTAAACTCTCTTCCCAGGTGTGCCTTAATGAAGGGAATCAGGGCTCTTTCATCCCCGTAAGCCATGCAACCCACGTTGCTCTCTTCTCTGTTCTTCCCTGCTTGCCCTAGGATGAAGAGGGGGTGGACCTGGGTCTTCCTCTGAACTCCCTCTCCCTTATTCTACCTCTTCCCTGCTCTGCCCAGCTGGACTTTGCCCTTCCCCAGTTTCCTCCACAGTCAAGGGAGCCACATTCCTGCTCCCTGTCAGCTGTTAGTCTTCCTCCTCAGATTCAGACTCTGACAGGGGCATGACAAGAGCAGTGATTGTCATACTTGGCTGAGGAATTCTGGGAGTTGAAATGCACACATCTTAAAGTTGCCAACTTTGAAAAACACTGATCCAAAGGAAACAAGGTTACCAATATGAGTACTGCCCTCTTTACTCCATGTTAATAATACTTGTATTAGTGAGAATTTCCATCATGAAGTACCAGACAATAGATTATGAGGGCTCTAGGATCTGAGACTGGGATGTGTAATAGAAGATAAAGAAAAGACCTGGGAAATATTTGGGAACTCCAATTTTAGAAGAGGTTTTAAGAAAGAATATAGTGAGCATCCTTAAAAAAGATTTTGGGGAACTGTTTACTTGGGTTGTGCACACTTCAACAATTATTCAGAAATGCCTCAGTAGGTGTGGGTACCCCATTCCTCCGCAGTCGTTACAGCAACCACCTCTTTTTTTCAGCATCTCTAATAAGAGGACCCTTTAAAGAAACAGGATTTTTTCCCCTGCCTGTTTAAAAGCCTGAAGGCATAGAGAAATGCTTTGGTTGCATGGAATCTGAGGAGCTTCTGAATCACATTTGCATGACCATTTCATTTGTAATTGGGGGTCATTTTGGTTAACTTCAATCATGTGACTTCCAGTTAAGGTTTCTTAAGTAACATATAGACTGCAGTTCCTGGATTCTCTTTAATTTTCTCTCATATTGATAAACATAAATGTTAAAGCTTAACACACGGAAGCAATGCTTTCACATTCAGCTTCAGCGACCAGAGGAGGAGAGTACGGCTACTCTTACATATCCTATTATTTTCACAGTTGCTACTCAGTCACAATCAGTAAGCAGCTGAAAAATCAAATAAGAACTGGTTTGTTCAGTTTGTTAAACAAAGCTATCTGCCATTTGTTGTCTTTTCTTTAAAATCCAATTAGAGACAGCTTTCTTCAGGCTCTTGAGGCTGTTTCTCATATATCTTTTGACTTTATGTCCTGTCTTTATTCTCCAGAGACTTATGACATCAGCAGAACTCTGGAGAATGAAAGAACGACCAAGTCTAAAAACCATGCAAACTGAAGAGAGTTCAAATGACCCCTCACATTTTAGTTTCAATTTTTTTTTTGCCTATAATTTTCACTGTCATCCAATCCCCTGATTGTTTACTCTAAGTCTGAGTCTTGCTTTCTGATATGAAAAAGTAATATTATTCTGGGACCTCAATAATGAAATGGAAGAGCTTTAATGGGCATGTGTAACCTACTCTTAGAAACCTTAGACTAACAGATGCATATTTATAAGGCAGGGGTGGGCAACTATGACAATGTTACGACCTGTAGACTCCAGTTCCCAGAATTCCTGAGCCAGCATGGTTTGTTCAGGAAATCTGGGAATTGAAGTCCCCAGATCATAAAGTTGCCACACTTGCCCACATCTGATATAAGGGAAGGAGTGGCTGGCCCCTTCTCTATCACTGTAGCCATATTGATTTGGGATACCCACTTTTAAAAATCCAGTTAGAATTGATCAAGCCTGTCTTTTATTACTGGCCTAGGTGGAAGGTGACATTGATGGCCTAGCCTGCGAGGCCGAAGACTTTGTCTGCGATTACCATTTGGAAATGCTTAGCCTGTCTCAAGATCAGCAGAATCCTTCCTGCATCCAGTTTGATGATTCCAACTGGCAGATGCACTTGACCTCTCTGAAGCCCCTGGGCCTGAATGTGCTGCTCAACTTGTGCAACGCGAGTGTGACGGAACCCCTCTGCCGCTTCTCTGACCACTTGTGTAACCTCGCCTTGCAAGAGACGCATCATGCTGTCTTGCCGGTTCACATACCCTGGGGGCTTTGTGAACTTGCCAGACTAATAGGTATGGAGCAGGTGATAACATATCTCCCTTGTTTTAAAGAAGACGTCACAAAGTGCATAGCTTCCTTGTTAGCAGAAATGCCCATGGTCAGGGACATAAGTGCAGGAGATGCTGGACAACTGAGACATAACATTTCTTTCTCAATTCTCTTCAGGTAGGGATTTTGAAACCGAACCTTAGATAGAGCAGGGGTCTCCAACCTTAGCAACTTTAAGACTTGTGGACTTCAATTTTGCTGGCTGAGGAATTCTGGGAGTTGAAGTCCACAAGTCTTAAAGTTGTTAAGGTTGGAGACCCCCGCCTTAGAGAGTTCAGTTTCATCAAAAATAGATTCTATCAAAACCTGATGGGGTTCCATGAGAGACTACAAGTGAATAAAAAAATCCACTTAAACAAATCTTATCTATTTCTATCAATACAGCTTTGCTTCTTGTTCAGCACTTTTGGGGTTTTCTTTTAAACTGCAAAAGGCTCTGTAGCCTGAAAAACAAAATCTCTAGGCTAACATATTTTCATTTGATTTCTTAACATGTTGTTAAAATTCTGGTAACAGATATAGGGAGAAAGTTCCACTTGGTTTGGCTTGTTAAATTCCAAAAGACAATAGTGTTTATAAGTAGTCCTCGACTTAATGACCACAATTGAAAACACATTTCTGTTGCTAAGTAAGGCAGTTGTTAAGTGAGTTTTGCCCTATTTTATGACCTTTTTGCCACAGTTAAGCGAATCACTGCCGTTGTTAAATGAATCATGCATTTGTTAAGCTAATAGGATTTCCCCCATTGACTTTGCTTGTCGGAAATCAGCTGGGAAGATTACAAATGGTGATACATGCCATTTGCCCAAATTTTGATCACATGACCATGGGGATGTACAAGGACTTTCTGTACATGTGAAATAAGTCTATGCAAACAATTAGTAAACGTTTAGTCTGTACAAGTCTTATATCTGCAGTTGTAAACTTTAACATCCAGTTTCTAGACCCAGTATTGACCGTACCAAAGATAGGCAGCTCATATTTTAGCCTCCAAAGAATATTGCTGAAATTCAGAGGTAAACTGTCTGATTTCTAACTTCTTTCTTTTAATCAAAAGATACCCAAAATGGCTGTACAAAAGAGGATTAGGTCCTCCTATAAACTTTTCCGTTTCCCCTAATTGGTTTAAGCCTTCAACATCCATCCATACCAGAACCGTGTGTAATAATACACCTTGTCCATGCCTGACAATCATAAACTACTATCGTTTGTATAGTTACCACATTTTAAGAAAGACTTTTATAATGCTGCAAATTTAGTCAACTGTAGGTCTCTAGGGTAAGGTCAGTCACCCACAGAATCATTCTGCTTTTAAGGGGAATTATACCTGGTGGTGTATCTGTTTTTGACACCTGATGTTTCATTTTGGAGTGCCAAATAGGCAGGAAACAAGATGGTGAAGTTATTTAGCAGGAGGTGCTATCCAGAGGATGGTGCTGGCCAGAAGGGAACAGTGCGTGAATGAGAAGAGCTGCTGCTTATTTTGTGTGATCTGGGCAATCTTTCCTTGTGGTGTTCTCCTTTTCTATTGATGCTTTTCATTCCTTAGGGTTTACACCGGGTGCCAAAGAGCTTTTCAAGCAGGAGAACTACATGGCCCTCTACCGCCTGCCTTCCGATGAGATGGTGAAAGAAGTGATGCTTGGGAAGCTCTCCTTCATCACCAAGAGGAGGCCGCCTTTGAGTCACATGATCAGCCTTTTCGTGAGAGACACCACAACCAGTAAGATTGTGAAACTGCTGTGTTCAGTCTCTGGGATTTCAATTTAACAGGCAGCCCCCATAGCTAACTCAAAGATTTGAGGTGTGCACTTGAATCTATAATAAAGTGCCAGGAGGAAGAAACGTTGCTATTCCACTGACATCACAAAAGGTTTTCCAAAATTAACTAACTTTCTTGACTGAGGCTTGTAAGATGGAAGTTTAAGGCCTTGGGTATACTTCCAGCCGAAACTAGAATATTAGGATTTTTCCAAGTGTCTCACTTCAGTTTATTCTCTGTTAGTTCCCTTTGTCTTTTGTTTTAAAGAATTGAGTATATATTCCACACTTGCCCTGAAGGTATGTAGGCTCTGTAAAAAGGTAAATAGGTTTAGAAAGCAGAATTGATTTTTATTACAATTACAGTTCTTAAGTCCAACTAGATTTTAAGCATTGAAATAATGCTTAAAATCTAGTTGGACTTAAGAACTGTATTAGAAACAGTGCATTTTGATTACCTTCCAGGATTACCAGGATATTGTTCCTTAACTTCTTGGCACAGTGCTGCTGTATTAGGACAGCAAATCCAGAATTTCCTGCCAGCAGAGCTGTGTTGGCTAAGTACTGTAGTCTGGTTGCATTTAAAGGGCCGATGCTGGGAATGGTTGGTTTCTGAAGGAAGGCAGGGAGCAATAGGATTTCCAATTAAAACGAATCTCCCTTACACAGAAGCAGAAGAAATTCCTTTTCGACACACCAGTGTGTTCAGAAATGGGGATATCTTTGCCTTGTTTCTTTATTCATATTTATTACTTTTTAATTAATAGAAAAGCGCTTTAACAAAAAAAAGGAAAATGCAACAAAACAAAAAGCATAGTGGGACAAATCATTCTAACAATAACTGTTACAGTTCTATATACTTATCTATTATTCAGGTATATGTATATATTTCTAATACAAAGCTTTGCCCTGCTTTGAGACCCAATGTTGGGAAGAGATAGGACAGGTAAAGGATGACAATCAGTCCCCGGGGACAGCCATTATTTGCCATATAGGCGTCCTGTATTTGACACTGAACAGGTTAGAGATTTTGCCTCAAAGAAATGCTCCTTATTTTATTGTAGACCTTGCATAAGTCTCTGAGTGTGGAAAAATGATAGGTACTTTGTCAATTGCACTAATAAAACTCTAATTGGCATAAGAAAACGAAATAGAAAAGCTGGATTTGTCCTGCTGTGGCTCCTGACAGGCTGTGATCTGTGATAATTTGATGACAGGCACTGGGTTATTTTTAGGGCCTGCTCTGTTCAGTCATCACCATTTTGTTCTTTTGTCAGTGGAAGAAGATGCTTGTAGATGATGTGGAAGCTGTAAAATAAATGAGCCTGCCAGCAAGCCATCTTCAGGCTTGCTATTTAGGCCCAATTTTCTGTCCTAGGCACGGAGCAGATGCTTTCCCATGGGACTGCTGACATCATCCTGGAGGCCTGCACAGATTTCTGGGATGGCTCGGATATCTACCCACTTTCTGGTTCTGACAGGTAGACAGACTGCTCTTCTGGCCTCTTTAGGCTTCCTCTTAAGGGGCATTGGCTTTGTAACACAGATTGCTGGAGCAGTGGCTTTTCGGGATGAATGTTTTGTACCAGGGATTTTGCCCTCACTCTGAAGAGTGCTCATGGTGACTCAGTTGGGACCTGTTTGCAGAGCTCAATTTCTTTACTGAGGAAAATACATTTATTTAGAAGCCATCTCCCTCACAGAGGAACTCTGGATGGTGTACAAATAAAATGTTAAGAAATAAAAACTGAATATAAAATAGAAGCAAAGATAGTTCTCCAAGCTCTGCCCAAAGCCTGGCGTTCAATCCTGACTGGGATCAGGGTTGACTCAGACTTCCATCCTTCCAAGGTCAGTAAAATGAGGACCCAGGTGGTTGGGGGCAATGTGCAAATAATGCTTCAACATTGGAAACTGCCCAGAGAGTTCTGTAAAGCACTATGGGGCAATATATAAACTTAAATGCTATTGCTATATTAAAACATTCATTCAAAGGTAGGAGGAGGGCCTTTGGGGCGCTAACCAGCCCCACAGCTGCATCTCCTCTGTGAGCTCCAGGCAAGATGGCAGAGCCTGGTCTTTAGACATTTTTGAAAAGTGAGAAGAGTGGTGGGCGCACCTCGCCTCTGGGGGCGGTGGTAGTGGAAGAATGTTCCAAAGGGGAAACAAAAACATAGACCTATATTTTATCAAAAACATATTGGCAGTATTGTAGAACTATGACTGGTTATGCATAATAAAGAGTAGCCCTAATGTTAGGAGGGGAGAGGGCTGCCTCTGATGGCTCTGAATTTTTTGCAGCTTGTCAGTCCATACTCCTCAGTACAGGATGAATTGGCTTGTCAAGCCTCCCTTATTGTGACCTGTTTGTCTGGAACCAAGTTGATTTTACAGCCTTTTCTAGTATTTCAGGCTGCATCTTTAAAAACCAAATGGCTATATATATATAAGGTAGAAGGCCAGCAGCAACAAAAAAAAAGCATGGTAATGATAACAGTGCTCATAATCATCATTATTATACTTTTATTCCACCTCTCTCTCTCTCTCTCTTTCTTTCTTTCTTTCTCCCTCACTCTCTTCCTCTCTGCAGACATACCTAATAGTCCTTCTTCCTCCTGTTTTCTTCAAAACAGTGAGATGGCTGATGACTGGTCCACAATCACCTAGTTGGCTTTTATGCCTAAAGTGAGACTAGAACTCACCAGCTCCTGGTTTCTAAGCCAGCACCTTGATCACTAGAGCAAATCTCATCAATTACTTCAACTTCTCCCAGAATGTTCCATTCCAATTTTTACCACTCTCCCACCTCCTGTTTTCTTATTCGCCCTTCCAGCAGCCTGACAGCCTCCCTGTATTTTCATTCCTCACTAGGCTGTTTTAATCTCCCTGACCTCTCCAGAATTATTGAAAGGATGAGTCTGAAATAATATTTTTTTCAAGGAAATTCAATATTTCAGCCATTGCTTATATAAACACAAAGGTTTCTTGTGCAACAACTAACAACAACAATAACAACAACAGTAAAATCGGTGACATTGTTTCTAATGGTTTTTGTCTTCTGTTTTCTCAGGAAGAAAGTGCTGGATTTCTACCAGCGTGCCTGCCTTTCGGGTTATTGTTCTGCCTTCTCCTATAAGCCCATGCACTGTGCCTTGTCTTCCCTCCTGAACGGCAAATGCATAGAACTGGTGCAGGTCCCTGGGCAAAATGCCATCTTCACCTCTTGTGATCTTCCAGGAACCATACCCATCAAGCAGAACAGCCGCCGAAATAGCTGGAGCTCAGATGGTACGTGCTTCGCCACTGTAGTTGAGATTTGCTGGAGAAACAGGCTCACCATAGCTTTTAAAATATGTTTCAGGGAGGAAAATAGTATTAGGGTGAGGGCGGGGGGATAATAAAATGTAAAAATACAGACAGGGTCAGATGATTTTCACCTTCAATTATGATGTTATTCTTCAAAATGCCAATCAAGGTGCTGTTATGGTAAATGCAAAATTACTTGTGCTCCAAAAGATATTGTCTCATTGAGAATTCTCTGTTTAAATAATGTTTATTTCTTATAGAAGGCACTGTAATTACACAACGATCTCATTACACTTGGATTCATTTTCCTGGTTCAAGGTCCTTTCCTGGTCACCATCTGATCTGGCAATTGTGAAAGAATTCTGCTTACCTAAATTCTTGATATTTGCTTTTTTAATAATATTTTTATTCAAGTTAAAAAAAATAAAAATAAAGATAAAACTAATGCAGATTAAGAATATATATATATATATATTCTTAATCTGCATT